CATTCAATCCATCCAGTTTTGCATTTTCCTCACTTAGGATGTCATTCAATGCAGACAGATTGGCATTCTCCCTACTCAGGGTCTCATTCAATCCAGTCAGCGTTGCATTCTCTCCACGAAGAGTTTCATTGAATCCAGCCAACTTTTTATTCTCCCCACTCAGGGTCTCATTCAATTTAGTTAGCGTTGCATTCTCTCCACGTAGGGTCTCATTTAATCCCCTCAGCTTATCGTTCTCCTCACTGAGGACCTCATTTTCACTGGACAGTTTTGCATTTTCCCCACTGAGAACCTCCTTTTCGCTGGTGTGTTCCTCCATTGGGCGAGGCTTCGAACCAGAGAAATCTTCGCTCCATATTTCTTCGTATCTGCTCCCTGCCCTTGTTGTCTCTGGGGTTAGTACCGTCACTTCATCCCTCTGCTTCGAGTGCAGGTTCTGCTTCGAATAAGAGGAATCATCGCACCCTGCACAATTTTTCCTGTCCACATTATCTGCCGCGGAAGTGAAATCTTCTTCCCCTGGTTCGCAGTTTTTTTTTTTTTTTTTTTCATTTTCCGCTTCGTCGTCGCGTCGCAAGTGAGCATCCTCCTCACCGTAATTCGGCTCTGCCTTTTCCTCCCCGTTACACACGTAGGGGGTGTCCACCTCCATATGCTCCTTCCCGGTCTCCTTACCACAGTTGCCCACATAAGCCATCCCTTCAAACGTCGATTCGTCGTCCTTGTCCCTTCTTGCAGAAGAATCACCTTTAGCATAATCGAAGGCCCCCCTGAAGGAGCAGTTATCATTCCAGCTGCAGGTGGAGCTAATGACACCCCTTAACTGTACAGGGAATTCAAAAGGCTCCATCAGATTGTCCGCATGACTGATGAGGGATTCATTTCTTTTATGCTCATTCGTTTCCTGACTAAATGGGAGACATTCCTTCATCAATTCATCGTTCATCCTTGATTCTTCCTCCTCGCACACATTTCCTATGGACCCCCCTAGGTGTGTCTTTTCAGCCAGTTCGCTCCTCATCTGATGGCTTCCTTCTACGTTAAGTGCCCATTTGTCACGTCCGATGGGGTGCTCTCCATTGGGGTCACACATCAGTGTTCTCCCGACCTTCTCTTTCCATGTGCTTGTTGCACTCAGGGAAGCCTTTCTCCTGCCTCTGTAAATATTTTCACTCGCTATGGCCTCCTCATGGTAGCTGTGTAGCCTCCTTCTGGGCGCTCCATCGAGGGGAGGCTCTTCGTTTTGTTCACTCTTCCAGTTCTGGTCCACTGCGTGGGGTTCATCACCGTTGCCGCTATCTGCATTATTGCCGCGATCCGTACAATTGACTCCATCCCTAGCATTGTTGCCATCCCCACTGTTTCCGCCACTCTGATCGGCGTCGTTCCTC